CCCCAAAACCCCAAAACCCCAAAACCCCATAGATCTATTTTCAATAAATTAATGAATTTATGATAATTAAAATTAAATCATCATCAAAGTAAACTCTAATTATTGATTCAATCCAATTTTCATAAGTTGGAATTCTTTTTAATCCAAACGGCTAAGTTAATTTTCACTCATTTGTTTTAGTGTAAGACTTTCTCGATGCTTGTAAGCTTTTATAGGATCTTCATGGTGTTAACTTTGATTTGTCTGACTTATCCATCAGCTTTTAAGCCTCCATCTTTATGCTCTGCTTCTTTGTAAACAATGAAATATTAAGGTACACCAGCCTCTCTCTTGAAACTGAGTAAACTTTCCACTTCCCACAAAAGTTGAGCTTTCAAGGCATAGTCTTTAGGAAGTATGCTATCTTGAACTCTGGCATAAGTGTCTCCCATTAGAGCAATTAAGAGATTCATCAAAATCAAGGGAATCAGCATAGTTGAGCAAATGAAAACAAGCAAGTACCAAACTGTTGCGAAGTCTGAAACCTCCCAATCGCCCAATGCTATTCTGTAGAAGGTAAGTGTTTCCTCAAGGAATTCACTAATTGTGATTTCATCAGTTTAGTCTAAGACAGTTTTAATGCTAGCCAATGCAAACAATGCAAAGATGAGTACTACGAAGAAGCTGGCCATGTCTGAGATAATTTCTTAGATCATGCCAACCAAATATCTGCTTTGATCAAAAGATCTCAAGTAAGAAACTCCTCTTGCACACAAAACCATGATACCAAAGCTCCTGACAACATCATCATTAGTGTATTCAATACCAAGCTGAACAAATGTGCAATGAAGGAATAGAATAATGAATCCACTGAGGTCAAAATAATTCCAGAAATCATACAAATAATAAGAGGAGTTCGCATAGCATTGTAGACCTTCATAGATCAATAGCAAGCCAGTCGATACCTGCACGATGGCAGTTATCACCGGAGCATTGTTGTATAAGATTTGAAGCCAAACCAATATCAAATAGACATAGTAGATAAAGGACTGCAACTACAGTATTTTCTTGAACAGGGACCATTTGTAGTCGATTATGACTTTCATGTTTGTTCTAAATATTTCAGGATCTGCTGTGGCTAAATGCCTCATTATCTTCAAGCTCTCATTACTTCCGGGAGTCAAGTTTAATTTGATTTGGGAAGTAAGGAATTAAATTTCTTTAAGATTTCCTGAGACTACATCTCCAACGCTGGTTGTTACAAAGTCATCACTAGGAGATTGATACTGTTGGAAAGCGTATCTCTCATTCTAAAATTCTCCAAAATCAGGAGGAGGGCCTCTAAGATTCTGTTTAACTGGAGATATCACTTTTCCAAGCAATTGTCTTACAGACTGTATTTCGCTGCCAAACATTAAAAAGAAATCTTCTTTTGTCATTGCGTAGTTTGATCCCTCGTTAACCAAGTATTGTGCAATTTCATCTATGCAGCTCAGCTGCCCAAGTTCTAAAGCATAGGTCAATGGTGTTTTTCCCAAGTAGTCTGTTGTGTAAATAAAGCCGCTTCTGAGTGCGTGTTAGAGTACTTCTGCATTTTTATTCATTACCAAGACATGCAGCGGGCTGAAGTTGTAAGGGAAGTAAAGTTAGCTTTGATATGATAGCTATTTGACTAAAGCCTCCTAGTTTTCAGGCTTGTAAATTAAGGATTGATAAAGTGAAATTTCTTGGCTTGTTAGTCTTGAGCTTTTAAGGTCAGTTAAGGAGTATTAATCATTTTCTGGATTGTGATCAACAATTTTTATTCTAAGGGCATTTTGGCACAGGAAAATAGAGTAATCCCATCCAGTGCTCGCAATATATTCTTCATTTTCTGAGATTGCAAGACACCATCTGCTTGTTTCAGCCACAAATGTTTGCAATAAAGCCATTCTATCAAGATCCCAAACCTTTAAGGTTTTATCGAATCCAGCTGTATAAAGTTCCTTTTAAGAAGGAGAGAGCATCATATCCTATATATCTCCCAAAGGCTCCTCAAGCTCTTTTATTATTAGCTTTTGATCTAAGTCCCAGATGAGTAGCTTTTCACCTGCTGTAATAAGCTTTGAGTTATCATTGGTCACCAAAGCCCTCATAACGTTGCTGTGAATGTCTAGCGTCATGGTAGTCTTTTACTCATGAAAGTCCCATTCAAGGACTGTGAAATTTTTCAAGCTCAAGTAGAGTCGAGAGCCATCTTAATTCTGGGAAATATGATATACCTCCGAATCGAACGGCCCTACAGATTACACTCTCTGTGTTTCCCAGTTTACGATCCCAAAACATTTGCCATACTAATAGCTTGGAATGGCTATTTTTTCATCATGGTTTGAGAGTATGAAGCATGTCACATATCCAAACCCTGCAATCTCATTGAGCTTTACGGTTGTCTCCAATTCCCAAGATTTGTTCTGCCAGTCAAGCTTCCAAACCTGGATTGATGATGGCGAGCCACCAGTGAGAACCCTTTGCATGTCTCTCGTCAGTAATGCTGTGTTAACTTATTGACCTGCGGGAATTCTAAAGATTTCCTCTCTGTCAGCAAAGTTCCATATACCAACAGTGCTGTCCCAAGCTCCGAAGACAAGATACTTGCTGTCGCTACTAAAAGAAAGGCAGTTAGGATACTGTGAGAGAGTAACAAGATTGGATGCGTTGTTTGAAACCCTAATTTTATATTCATGTACAGCACCGGCCTAGACGTACTCATGTCTAAACTAAACTACATTTTCATCCTCGTTGAAAGCTAGGAGGTCAGCACTACTCCCAAGCTATATTTTATCTACTAGAGTGAAGTTCTCGGTTTCATAAACCTTGATAAATTTTGAGAATCTGGGAGATCCAATGAATAAAAGAGTGCTATCTTTGGACACTATAAGATCTGCAGCATGCCCGCCAAAACTTATAGTTTTCATCAGCTCGTCACAAAGATTATAGACAAAGGCTCTACGGTCATTGGACCCAGTGATCACATACTACTCATTAGGCGTTACCACGATGTCTCGCACTGAATCATCGTGGTTGTAAGGAAGAGATCTCCACTCTCCACTCTTAATGCTGTAAGCCATCAGCGCCCCTTTAGAAAACCCGAGATAGAGACTGCAAGAAGATGCACATGCTGCTGATACACTAGTTTGAGACTCTGGGCTCTCAATCTGCTTTTTCTCTTCAGTTTTCATCAGGACCTGGTATATGTTTTATGCATCCATAACTATAAAGGTTATATTCTTCTTTGGGGTGGGGACTATAAAGGAAGCCTTTGAAAGTCCGTGTTTCCTTTCAAACTCATCACTTTATTTGGTGTACATCTTCTTGTAGGAGTAGGAGGTCTCATTGTGGACCTAGTAGTGAAGCTCCTTATGGTTATTAATCAGCTGAGTAAACTAATGGAGACTAAGTTCCTGAAGTTCTTTAGATTTTTCCTGAGGAGTGGGTTGATCCACTAGTAAGGGCTCTTTTAGTTATGATGTCATTTCAATTTAATGTTTTATTATGCTACAAAGATATTTCAAGTATTATACAAGATTTTAGTGACGGGGTTTTGGGGTTTTGGGGAGATCGGAAGAGCACACGTCTGAA